TCTTTCTTTCTTTCTTTCTTTCTTTCTTTCTTTCTTTCTTTCTTTCTCTCTTTCTTTTATTTTTGTCATCTTTCTCCCTTGGGGTTGAGACCACCAGTTTTATTCTGCTTTGTTCAGTTTTTCATTGCTGGGGATGGAGCCCAGGGCCTGGAGTACACTGGGTGAGCCTTCTACTGCTAACCTACAAGCCCAGGGAACCAAATTTTAAGCACCCAAAAGAACTTTGGAAAGTATCAAGATTTGGAAGATCCTTAACACCACAGGTCAAATAGTTGAAGAACATTTTTTTTTTGTCAGTGCTGAGGATCCAGCCAGGCCCTGCATAAGAAGTACTGCCCTGAGCTACACCTTCAGCCTTTTTTATATTTTTATTTTTAGACAGAATGGTTTGGAATTGGCCATCCTCCTGCCTCAGCCTTCTGAGTGGTAGGATCACAGGCATGCATTCCCAAGCCTGGCAGGAGGCCTGTGAGAGCTCCTTAACTCAGACTCAGACTGCGAAAGAACTATTATGTGCCTTTCTACAAGTCTGCTAAGCAAAGAAACTGCCCCAATGATGCACACAGCCCCAGCCTGGGCTACTTGCAAGCAATCCTCAACAATTTCAGTTTTCATTTCAGCCAAGATAATGTTATAATAAAGATGAAGGTAGTAAGGCTACAGCATTGAGGGTATAAACTATGAGTGACGGGGGTGGGGTGGGGGGGTAGGGCGGGACAAAACCAATTCCATAATCTCATCTGGGATTCTGACATGGGGTCCCCCTTTCTCTAAAACTGTAAGGTTGGAGGACAATAGTCAGAATGGTCATAAGACTCCAAGCCTGACTGGATCTGGGGGCCAGGAGGGACCTCTATTATCACAGCTATCCAGACTGATCGGTCAGTGTGGTCTGGGCCAAAGCAGCTGAATGGAAGGGAGGAATCCTGAGTGTCTTTTCCTTGGTGGGTTCAAGAAGAACCACAGAGAATCTCAGCCACATAGGAAACAGAAAGCAGTAAGAACCACAGAAGGACCTGGAGAGGAAGCAGGATTAGTTCTAGACCGAGCTAAGACCTACTCCTTTACCTTAGACAAGACGTTTCCTTGCTTAAAGCTTCAACTCCCTGTATGCCAATGAGGAATCCTGAGGTGAAGAGGAAGTATCTCTAGGGCCCCCTGGTCAGGTAGACCCCCAAATTTGTCCTGACTGTTAACACAGGAGCTGGTGTTCAGTTGCTGGTCCCTCCCTCCAGACAGTTCTGCAGGTACTACAGTGTGGCCGCAAAAGAGACACATGAGGGGAAAAGGTGGTGGTGGGGAAATATTCACTAAATAATTGTTTCAAACAAAGGAAAGGAAAACTATGCTCACCTGATCCCTGCCCAATGACATATATGGTCTCTCCGCATCCCTCGTCCATCCTCTCCCACATTTGCCGAAGTAGGCTGTCATACTGCTCTGATGTAGGGCTCACTAGAACCAGCTAGAAGAGAAACCAACAGCCTTAGAACCACACTCACTAGAAAGTGCCACAGCCAAAGCTGATCAACAGCCTGACCAAAGACCCTGACCAAACCCCAGGGCACCCTAATGAAACACAACTGTGCAGCCCCTCACACACTCGCTCTCGCTCCTGAAACAGCCGTAGGACCCAGATGATATACTAAAATGAGTATGTGTCTGTGCCACAACCTGCGGGAGGAGAGGTGTACACAGCCTGCTTTCTGCTGCTTCACCAGAGGATTGGGTCCCAAACAAGGAAGAAGGCAGTCTGACACTGGGAGGAAGCTGTCCAGCAGTGCTTCGCACCTCTGCACGGTCTTCTGCCTGCGGTGTGCATCAGGGAGTTCAAGGACAGACTGCTCACTTAAAACCATGCCTTCCATCCACAGCCGAGTGCTCTCATAATAGCAAAAGAATTCTATTCTACCTTGTCTAAGCTGTCAGTGAAAACTGCCCGCAGAAGGCCATCTTTGTCAACCAAACCCTACTGCCACTAAGGTTAGTGTTATTAGAACCACAGCTAGGAAAATCCTGTCAATAAAAAAGTATCAACCACTTACTTGGGGAGGCCATTGCCACGAGGCAAGTGGATTTCATTCTCTAACCATGCCTATGTGACCTTGGACAAAGAACTTCTCTGAATGTCCATCTTCTAGTCGAGAGAGTAGCATATATAGCATCTGGGATGGCTCAAGTCTATAATACCAGCACTGGAATGCCCGAGGCAAGAAAAGTGCTACGAGTCTGAGGCCAGCCTGGACTATAGAACTAGAGTCTGTCTCAAAACAAAACAAAAGCATCCAGGCCAGGCTCAACTACCATGCATTTTAGTTATCTCAACCAGTCACTTCTTCAAAAACTCTGCATGAATCTCACACTATTAATCATGAATTGTTTTTCTTGCTGGAAGCTCTCAGAGCCTTAGCTCCCCTCATTTAGCTGTAGGGAAGGTATACATATCTAATGTCTATGCTTTTCAGGACTTAAATCTATTCAATTCACCCTTCTCTCCTCCACACGGTCAGCTTTTGTTTTCAACACACACACACACACACACAGACTCAATTTCAAAGGATTTCCCCAGATCCTTGATGAAGTAACAGTTCCTTACTCAGGGCAATTAACTAAAATGGTAAAAAGGTACCACCCTCTTCATGGCTCTGTCCCAATTTCCCACTGAGTTTTCAGGTTTCTTCAGCTCTCTGACCAGGCACTGACATCTAGCCAGTACACTTCCAACATGCCCAGTTCACTCATCAGAGCTTATAATTGTAACCTAGAGGCTGCCAGTGTTACATTGTCTCCTGCATCTTGGATGGAGGTCTCCCTGAGCTTAGGCACTTTTACTCAGTATTAGAGGCACTAGGTAGGACCATCATGGCAAAAAGAAGCTAGTTGGCTTCCAAGGGTCCAGCAGAGACTAGGAGAAAGAACAGTTGGGAATTGCTTACTTAGGTTTTGGGGAAAGGTTCTTTCCAGTTTAGAGCTGAGTTTTATGTAGCAGTGCCATCATGAGAAGTCACATTTTCAAAGCACCATAAAATCTCCCATCCAAGTAGTAATCAGACCAGACCCTGCTTAGCTTCTGAGATCAGACTAGATCAGGCTCGTTCAGCATAGTATGACCACAGACATCAAAGCTTCATAAAATCTCTATTGTAATTATCCTACAAAGGGCAGGGGGTGGGGCTGCTCTATCTTCCATCAGCTGCCTTTTAATCCTCATAGGGAATCATCTATCTGCTGCAAATATTTACTGAGTCTCTGATATGCATCTGGTACTATAATGGGTCTTAACATTCTCTTCTAATTTTTGCAACACACCTGCACTTTCTTGATAGGATAGCTGGAGAATTGAGAGGTTAAAAAAGTTTCCTAAGGTCACAGACCCTTTTAATGACAATAGTTGGAAGGGAAGCCCAATCCTTCCCTTGGCATTAGTTTCTTTAGTGATGTTAGACACTTTCTAAACACTAGTAACATCTTATAGTTACTTTCTTATTTTCCACAATGGCAAGTAAATGGTGAGATCCTAATTTCTGCCAACCTTCTCAACAATGAAGAAGTCGCTATTTAAAGACGCCCTTCCATATTCCATGAGTACAAGAGGTGGCTCCACTCCTAGGTGGCAAGACTGAGGGTCATGACCTATTTTTTATAAATGTATAACAAGGCAGGGGTGGGGGAAGGCGACGAGAGCCACGGTGTACGTGTGGACATCAGAGGACAACCTGTGGGAGTCAGTTCTCTCCTTCACTAGGTGGGTCCAGGGGATCGAACTGAGGTCATCAAACTTAGGAGGCAAGCCCCTTTAGTTGCTGAGCCACCTTGTCAGCCCCGTCTTTTTATTTTATTTGGGTGGACACGGAAAGTGGACGCTCCTCAGACATCATTCTGAGCAACTACTTTCTGTTTCCTTTCCAGAGACCAGGAAGAGAAACGGCTGCCACCCCTTATACTGGCTACCTGTCTTCGCGAGTATCCCGCCCCCTGCCCCAGCCACCTTGACACTTGGTCCTCCGGGACGTTCCTAGAAGAGGAAGACCCTGCGTCTCAGGGACCCCTCCTGGGGAGGGCGGGCTGGTCTACACAGGGACGCGGACGCAGGGCGCGCGGCTGGAGTCGGGAGCCCCGTTCCACGTGGCGGAGCCAAGGGGCAGCGATCGAGGCGGGAGCGGGAAGCGCGGGAGGCCGAGTGGACGCTGCCCGCTGCGGAGTGGGCCCTGGCTCCGCAGGTCCCGAAGACCGGCAGGTGGGCGGGTTGCGTCCCTCCGGCGCTCCTGTGAGCCGTGCCACTGGACAGCCGGCTGCCTGCCGTCGCCTCGGAGACCGCCCGGCCCCTCCGCGTACCCCTGGCCCCGCCACCGCCTCCCGGGCCTACCTTGCTGGTGAGGTCCAGCTCCGGCTCGCCGTTGAGCGCCTCGCCGTCCTCGCTGCAGTCCGAGTCGAAGCCGCCATGGAGTCGGGCCGCGGCCGCGGCGGCCCGGGCCGCCCCCGGAGAGCTGGGCTCGGGGGCAAACATCGAGGCCGGCACCGGCGAGTCCACCGGGGAGCGACTCCGCTCCGCCGCCATCTTTAAGAACTTAGGCTAATTCGCAGCCGGCCGCCCGCCCTCCCTCCCTGGCTCATTTAACTAATTTATGCTTAGCCCCGCCCTTCTTGTAGGAATAATTTATGCACAGCTTTCCCCGCCTCCCGAGGGTGTCGCGTATCTCTAGCAGAGACACAGCCAACCCAGTCTCTCAGCTACCAATCGCTGCAGCTCTCTCAAATACTTTAATGAATAATTAATGAGACCCAAACCCCAACAACAAACGTCGTAGTGGTCTGCAGCCTTGGTCCCACCTCGGGTGTGGCCAACACAGCGTGCACGCTACCTGCCTAGATCCTTCTCGCCAACGGGAGCGAAGCAGAGGTTTGACTGACTTGACAACAAGCCAATGAAAAGAGACATCCATGCTTTTTCTCCCCCCTTCAGCCCCCCTCACTTTCCAGAGGCGGGGCCAGCTTCCAAATCATACTGCAAAACAGTCCCGCCTAGAGCCTCAGAATGATGGACAAGGGCGGGACCCAATCTTGTCCTCCCTAAGTCCCACGCGTCTGGCCGCCACACACCCAGATAGTAAACTGCAAAATGAGCCTGGCACGCCGATTGATTGAAGGCAATTGTTGCAATACTATGTCCGGCGTCCTGGCATGCGCAAGGCAATTTTTATAGTAGAATCGATGCTATGTATTCCAGGAGTTGTGATATTATAGCAGCCAAACCAAGACAATTAATTAAACGCTGACCTTAGGGAGCTCCATTCATTGACTCCTCGGAGAGCAATTGAGTGAACAGAAAGGAAAAGATCACAGCCCAAACACCGGCGTAAATCCCCTCACCACGTTTTTGGTGAACAGTTGAGCCACAGGTCTAGGATTTATCAAGGTAGTTTCTTGTGGCTTATTTTTTCAGTTGTCACTAGTGGAAAGACCCAGTCCAAAAAATGCCATCCGTGTGCCTGAAACTCCAGTTTCAAATGTCTGAGAAACCTAAACTTTGCTAGGTGAATTCTAGGTTTTACCAAGGTCTAATTATGCTGGCTGGACCTGACCACTCGTCCTGGTAATAGATAAAAAAAGAGCAGCTGTCTGAGAAAGTACGGGAAATTTAGGGATTGGACCACAGAATGTACATAGTGAACAAGGAAAAGCCTCCCTAATTCAGGGAGTCTGAGCAGCAGATTCTTAATCTCATTTTCAACTACGTACCACCAAGTCTTTGAACAGATGCTGCTGGAAATCTGGTCTTGATTTATTTTTATTGAGACTTATTTTTGTGAGTATGGTGTGTGTGTGTGCCACCTTTGTGCAGGGCCTGTAGAGTCTAGATGGGGCACCAGAACCGTTTTGGATTAGAGTCACAGACAATTGCTAGTCTCCATACGGATACTGGAAATCCAATCCAGGTCTTCTGGAAAACCTGTCAGTGCTCTGAACCTCTGAGCCGTTTCTCCAGTCCCAGAGATTCGGAGTCCTGACATCTAAAGTGAGCGGTAGTCTTGTGGACTGTAACCCTTTATTTGTGGACTCTGACAGTATATCCAAGTATTAAGAATTCAACTGGAGGTTGCTCACTGTTTGTCTGGGAATGATCAGAGTTGCCGGTTGTATTAACTCTATTGCTTCGATTGCTATTAAACATTGTATGATCAGAAAGAATTCAATTTCAGAATATATTGATATCTGACTGGGGGAAAAGAATGTCCTTCTCACTATAGGATTTTGCCTAGAAAGGATATACTTTCTAGTACTTGTTTTTCAAATTGAATGACTTGGAGAATAAACATAAAAAGTAACAGTTGAGAGGTAATTCTCTCTCCATCTTTACATTCTCATTCCGAAAAGTTTGGCCCAAGCTCAAACCCTTAATTCAGTACAGACATAGTGATTTTAAACAACTTGACCAACTTCTTTGGGCTTCAGCTTTCTCCCTGAAAAAGAAAAATGTCTAATTTTCTTGGCAGTAATTAATTACTCATCAGCTAATTAATATATGTAAAATGTTTACAATAATTCTGATTGAACAGAAAGTCCCTAGAAGATAAATCCTATGTAAATACACTGTAACAGATTGGTAGTTTACAAATTACACATACACACACAAATTAAGATAAGTCAATAGTCTAGGTAGAGGCAGAGAACTCCCTATCACGTGGTAATCTGTCAGATATGTTGTCCAACACTGTTGATTGAGGTGGTCTTGAGGATTAAAGAAACCTTCACTTTGAAAGTGCAAATCTAGCCGGGCAGTGGTGGCACACACTTTTAATCCCAGCACTTGGGAGGCAGAGGCAGGCGGATTTCTGAGTTTGAGGCTAGCCTGGTCTACAGAGTGAGTTCTAGGACAGCCAGGGGCTACACAGAGAAATCCTATCTGGAAAAACCAAAGCGGGGTGGGGGGGAGAAGAAAGTGCACTTGGACTAGAGAACACACACACACACGTCTAAAAAGAAGGATCGGAAGGGAAAAGAAAACACAAAAAGGAAGGCTTGTGACAGCCATCAGGAGAAGGTTGCTGAGCAAAAGGGCAGTGGCTTGTGTGCAGTGAAGGGGAATATGACACCAAGGATCTGAAATAGAACTCTAGTTTCCATTTGAAATATGACTCCCGGCGAGACTCCTGCCCTCAACTCTCAAAGAAAACTGGAGGCGGTCGTGTTCACCAACCAAGATTATGCCCGACCGCTTCGGTAAGTGTTTGGAAATCCGGTGAACGTAAGTGGGCCAGGACAGCCGCTGCCCTGGCTCAAGAAAGCACACCGCCCGGAGCAGGGTCCTGCGGCGTCCAGGCGGGAGTGGGCGGCGGGGCGAAGCTGCGGTAAAGCGACAGTCCACCTTCCCCGCTATCGCGGAGCCCCACAGCCCTGCACAACGGCTCCGCGAACTACTAGCGCCAGGCGACCCTCCACCCCCACCAACAGTCCGCGCCGGTTACGTCACATAACGTCAGGGGTGACGCGAGGTTGGCAGGCGGGGTCAGCGCGGGGGCGTGTCTGGGGCGCGCGCCGAGTGAACGCCGCTGACGTCGGGCTCAGGTGCGCGTGCCCGCCCGCTCTGCCTCGGGCTCGTCCGCGCGCGGCCCAGGTGACGGCCCGCAGGCTCCAGGTGGCGGCGTAGGGCCGACGAGCGGTCCCCGCCGGGCAGGCCTCGGGAGGGAGCCCGAGCTTGCCTCACGCGACAGCAGGAGGTCGCGGCGGGGACGGCCAGCCCGGTGAGCCAGGGCTGCACCGGGCGAGGCAAGGCGTCCGGCCGCACCCTCGCGGGCCAAGGCGGGACCTCCCCGCGGCGGCGCCCGGGCCGCCGTTCCCCTTCCGCGGCTCCGCCCGCTCCGAGGCGAAGCGGCTCCTCCGCTGGGCCGAGTCCGCCAGCGCGCCGGCGAGCATGGAGCGCTACCCCCAGAGCCCCCGCGCGGCCCGTGACCGCACGCCCTCCGGTCCTCGCTAGCTCTCGGCATTGAGCCCTTTCTCCACCACTCAGCCGGGTCTTCGGAGCCTGTGGCGTTGTGATTCGGACGAAATGGAAGAAAAGGAGCGATGTGACCCATTCGGCTCTGCCCTCCTGCATTGAGGCCTAGTTGGCATCTGCAGAGAGGAAAACACAGCCAGGAAAGCGTGGTGTTTCCTTTTTTTCCAAAGGAGGTGGGAGGGGAAGGTAGCGAAAGGGAGGAATCCTGCGTTTTATATGTTTCCTTTTTTCTTTGTTAATTCTGCACTTTGAAAGTGTTGGCTAAATAAACTAATCCAAAAGTTATTTTTTTTTCTATCGAGAAGACAGAAAAGGTAGTTTTTTTTTTGTTTTTTTTGTTTTTTGGTCCCTTTTGATTTCAACCTTCAGTGACAAAGCATAAATCATGGACACCAGAGAATAGGTGAACCTCAGGAATCTGAAGACAGAGAAACCTAGACTTTCCTCAGGAGGAAAGGAGCGGGGCGTTTATCGGCTCTGCCTGGAACCTGAATCGAAAAACATGAGTTGCGTGCCATGGAAAGGAGACAAGGCCAAATCGGAATCCTTGGAGCTCCCCCAGGCAGCACCCCCACAAATCTACCATGAGAAGCAGCGCAGGGAGCTCTGTGCTCTTCACGCCCTCAACAACGTCTTCCAGGACAGCAACGCCTTCACGCGGGAAACGCTGCAGGAGATTTTCCAGAGGTAGGGCTTGGCATCTTGATCTCCATTTCTTGGTATTTCTGAATTTGTGTGGGTGGTTCGATGTCTCAGGGACAGAAACCTTCAAACCTCCAGGTTTGGAATTAAGGTGCTGTCGGCAGGAATAAGGAACACAGGAATAGGAGATAATCAGTCTACGGTCCATCTGTTGTGACTAACCGCAGTTGTGCTGTCTCCACGGATGTGGTCAGACAGGGGACTCCGTGTCGCATGTGTTATTCCCATTGTGTTATGAAGACAGGGCTCTGTGTTAGTTTCCTACAAATAACCCAACAAGCTTTGGACTCAGGATTGAGTTCAGGGTCGTATCTCCACTGGTGGTCACTGCTATAATGCCTCCCTTCCAAACCCTGCCACCAAGGAGTTTACAGTCTAGGAGGGACACAAAATACATCGACATTCAGCCGTCTGTTACCAAAGGTGGGCCATGATGGGCATCACAAGAAAAGTGTACCCACAATGCTTAGCTGTTCTGGGGCCATATGCTGCCCATGGTGTCCTTCATACATTGTTCTGTATGACTTTCCTCACGGTCATTTTACTGATAGAGAAATGAACAGAAAGGTCAAGTAATTTGTTCAGAGCAGCTTCTGAACAGCCACAGTGTGATTAGAGCAGACTCCAGATCTCTCCTCCTGCTGTGTGATGACTTGTGGGGCTGCTGTGACGTTCAGTGATGGAGTGCTTGCACATTACGTAGGGGGTCCTATGTGCAGTCCCTAGCACAGCCTCCCCAAAAGAAAAATGATGGACTCCATAGAACAAATATGCCACTCCACAAGTGGTCAGGGTGCAGTTTTATGCCCATTGCCTAGGTTTTTGAAGTCTTTTACCAAGGGCCTTGAGAATTAGTTCTGTAGTGTCTGACTCTACCCAGCAACATGACTGAAATCCATGGCAGCTTTGACAGTGAGCCTGTCTTACATCTCCAACTGGAAAAGACCTCAGGACAGAGAAAGTGCAAGGATGCTTTACTGGGGTCCCAGAGGACCTCTTGATGGTCCTCATTTGGATATGAAATAGCTTTTGCACAGCAATGTCAGTTACAGCTAGAATGTTTAGGGTGATTTGTAAGCATAAGTGTGGACCACTTATCTTGCAAGAACTGTAGGAGTCTGAGAAGGGCTGTATCCTGAGTGCTCTTACAGAACTACAATAAGAGCAATTACTTTTCAGTGCCAGTTAAAGATCAGAGGGTAGCAGGGAAGATGTGCCGTTTGCTTCATGTAAGTACAGTTCATTCCTCAGAAGATGAAGCTCTAGGAGATAAGAAAAGGTGTCTTTCCCCGGGTGGTGGCGGCACACGCCTTTGATGCTTTTAATCCCAGCACTTGGGAGGCAGAGGCAGGCGGATTTCTGAGTTCGAGAGTTTGAGGCTAGCCTGGTCTACAGAGTGAGTTCCAGGACAGCCAGGGCTACACAGAGAAACCTTGTCTCCAAAAACCAAAAAAAAAAAGGTGTCTTTCACCACCCAGTCATGTGACAGAAAGGAGGGCCCAGGCTTCTACTTCCCTTTGGACAACTGTTAATGTTTCTTCTGTGTAGCTTGAATTGTTTTCTCATCTATAACCAGGGAGAAGGGAATGCTTGACATGAACACTGAGTGTGCTTGGTACTTGGTAGTGTGTACTAACCATCTTAGAGCAACCTTAGCAGTGGCCTGGGGAACCAGGACTGCGTTGATGAGTTTACTTAGTTTTACCACCAGTAAATTAATGTCAGGTTGTATGTAGGTAGTCATACTCAGGTTGACAGATTCTGACCTCTGCGAGTTTGGTTCCTGGACTGACAAGGGAGTTAATGAGACAGTAACAAACCAACTCCTTGCACCATTCTGAGGACTCTTTGTGCAGCAGCTGAGCCCTCACACCCAGCTTAGGAGGTAGGCACTATTGTTTACTATTATTACAGATGAAGAAATTAGAATGTAGAATTTGTATGTGTTAGTGGCCAGATTCCTGCCAAGTTTTATAGCTCCAAGGCCCGCCTCCAAAGGGCTCCTCCTGGCTTCTTGCTGCAGACTGGAAAATTCAGAGAAGCAGGAACTTGAGTAGCTGCCTTTCTGACTCGTAAGTCAGCAAGATTGGGAGTCTGGGCTTTCAATGTTTGTGGAAAATTGGGCATCTCTCAGATATGTTTTTCCTGAATGGAAGATGCTAAATATCTTCCAATCACCATGTGGGACCTGGGCTCTGTTCCTCTTGAAGCTTTTGCAAAGTGTGGTATACTTCTGTGTTCCCGGTCAGCACAGTACAGGCTGACCAGTAAGAAAATTCCAGAAAAGGAGTTCTATTATAGAGCATTTTTACTTGTAAAGGTTCTGTATGGATAAGGAGGGACCCTTCTCCTAAACGTATGTAAAGAATCTGGAGAAAATGGAGGTAGAGGTGAGAGAGAGATGACTAGCCTTGCAGTGTGCCAGGTCCTAGGAGGCGTTGTAGAGAAGACAAGCTGAGCAGGACACCTCAGGGCTGTCCATGGACCTGAGGCGCAGAGAGAGTCACAGACAATGGAGCAGTTTAGAAATGAAAAGACGGTCTCCTTAGAAACTGGCATTCAGAGAGAAGAAAACTGACAGAGTGACCCATGCTGGTTTTAGACTGTGGCTCATGAGGGGCAGAGACGAGGACAGTGTGGATAAGAGCTGTTTGTTGAGAGGAAGTTCATCCTAGCAGTGGCGTTCTAGCCAGTTAAAGGAGGAGAAATCCAAAAGCAGGGTGGAGTCTGAAGAGAGTGTGGAGACAAGATGACTCATGCTCGGAATAGAAATGAGTTAAGAATTTAGAACCAAGCTAATGCTGATTAGCAACAAGCAGGCAGGGAGGGAAGGAATCAGATGTGACTGAGGCTTGATCCAGGAGAAACTGTCTCCAATGGTGGACACACGTCATCAGCGTGTATTTCACCTCGTACCCTGTACCATGTATCCATATAAATGTAGAAAATAAAGGGCTTTGAGGTGCACTCAGAGGATTGAACTCACGGCCTTACGCATGCTCATGAGTGTTCTGCCACTGTACCCCCTCAGCTTGCAGTGGCATTTGATTTTATGCGTCTAGGTGTTTTGCCGGTATGAATGTTTTTGGACTACATACATGTGTTGGATCCTCTGGAACTGGAGTTGCAGGTGGTGGTCAGCAGCCATGTGGGTTCTGGGAACCAACCCTGGGTCCTGGGATTGGAGTAGCTCATCCAACCCATGATGGGAATAGCTGATACTTACCTATTCCTATGAGCTGTGTTTCCTTTAGAAACATCAGGAAATTCTGATGAAAGAAAGAATGGAGAAAAAATTGATTCAGTCTCTTCCTTCATCCCTCCTTTTCCCTCTTCATTAAAGTCCCTGTCACCACAATAGCAGGCCCAGTAGTAACTTTGGAGTGGACTCAGGACATTAGTGGTGACCTAGGCTAGAGCCCACCTTAGAGACCCCCACCTCATGTTTGTAATGGCGAACAGAAGAGGCTTGCTGCAAGCTCCAGGATGTCTGTGGCAATTGGCAAGGCAGTCCTAAGCAGCAGCCACTGTACCCAAGAGGCTCTGCTGGACCAGCGTGGGGAAGTAGTCCTGAGCAAGCTATTCAGTATTGTCTACAGGCTGGATCCTCCCTGTGCCTCTGACTAGCTGTGCGTGACTGTGCAAGTCGCTGTAACCTTTGCACCTCAGCTTCCTTGTTTACAGTATCTAAAGATTGTGAAAGGATTAAATGATAACACCCATGAAGCAGCTAGCCTAGTTGGGCAGCCAGTTAGCCTTAAAGTAGAAGAAAGGACTTTTGTCGGACAGGGAGCAGATAATGGAGTAGACAACCCCTCATCTTCAAATGACCATGGGTGAATAAAAGTGGGTGCAAAATAGCTGTTTCATGGATAAAGAAAAAGTTTATTCCAAACCTCCTAGCTGTCTCTCAGAAAAGCAGAAATGACAGAGTTTGGGGGGGGGGGATTTCTAGGGCTTTAAGGAAAACAGGTACCTAGGAGGAAAGTAGTCTGTAAACTAGGGTGTAACAAGAACTTGTTGACTAGAGAGTGAAGGAGCCTAGAAGCTAGCATAGACCCTCATCTGCTAATAGACACCATGGGCATATATATTAGTGGGAGGCCCCTTTTGCCAGGATAAGGAGAATGCTTATTTTTAACAGGTAGAAGCTATTTTTCCAAGACCAGGGTTGGGGGTGGTGGGTTTGGGGTTTGCTGGCTTTGTCTAAATGCCAGACTTTGGGAAAAGAGATTTCTTGGGACCAGACAACTAGCTCTGTAGAATGGAATGGAAATTGTTGTTAGCAATCCCTACATTGATCGATTTGGGATTTCTTTGAAAGGAGATCTCGTAGTCCAGACTGGTTATGTATTAGAAGATGATCGTATGATCGTGAGTTTCTGATCATCGGGCCTCCACCTCCCAGGTTCTAGACAACAGCCCCGTGTCAACATCGACCATTCTGGGCATATTTATTAGATGTCAATGTCTGGCTGAGAGAGAGTACTAAAAAGGTTTCAGGACTTACTGTTTGCTTGCATGTACGCCAGATGAATTCTTCAGTAAATTAGTGTCGGTGATATTTGGATAAATTGGTATTATGTGTGGTCCTGAGTCTCCCTTTGTTTTCATAGAATCAGGAAGGATTCTGTGGAAGAGACCATGTGAGGTTGAGTCTGAAGAAGCTGTGGGATTCAGCTTGTAGTCAGAAGTAGGTTCAACTACTGAAGGCCACATAGTTTTAGTGCCTGAAGTGTACTTTGCCCTTTGGAGAGGACAGCAGCAGGTTGAGTAGGGTGGGACTTGGAGTTGGCTAACCTTTAGTGAATTTGTATGAACCCAGGTTTGAGCTTAGTTTTGTCAGCTGTTAGCGTTCATGGCCAAGTTGGTTCAAATCACCAAACGTGTATGTGGAGTGGCCCACACCTGGCACTTCCAGCACCTGGGAGTTGGAAACAGGAGGATCAGGAGTTTAAGTTATCTTCAGCTAAATAGTGACTTTGAATCTAGCTCAGGCTACATGAAACCTTTTATATATATATAAAAAAAATCACCACCTAACTTTAGAATTAAAATAAATATTTATTTTTATCTGAGTGTAGTAGTACACACTTTTAATCCCAGCACTAGGAAAGCAGAGGCAGGAAGATCTCTTTGTGTTCAAGGCCAGTTTGTTCTACAAAGTGAGTTCCAGAACAGCCAGATCTACACAGAGAAACCCTGTCTCAAAATAAGCAAACGGACAGACAGACAGACACATAAATGAATGGATGGATGGATCATCCACAATCATGGCCCAAGTAGGGCTGCTTTCTGCCATACTGGTACCCAGTTTCCAGATGCCTGCCAGAAGGTGCTTTTTTCTTTTCTGTTTTCTTTTTTGTTTTTTTGAGACAGGGTTTTTCTGTGTGGGTCTGGCTGTCCTGAAACTTGCTCTGTAGACCAGGGTGGCCTCAAACTCATAGAGATTTGCCTGCCTCTGCCTCCTAAGTGCTGAAATTAAAGTTATGCCCCACCACTGCCAAGCCAGGAAGGAGCTCTTTGACAAGGCCAACAAACACCCGTTTTATTTAGCCTGGTCTGTTAGGAGAGTATCCTATTGCAGAAAGCTCCTCTCGGCAGGTTACTACTTCCTTGTGTAACCTTATTCTATGCCAGGTTTTACTAACATATTCTGAGTAGAGACACTAGCATCCAGATTGTGGGTCCTCTTGGAGGGAACCTGTTAATCTTGGGCTGGCTTTTCTTTTTGAGATTTCTTGTTCAGGTGACCAATCCTGGGCTTTCTGGGTAATTGGGGGTATGGGACTTGAAGCAGAAAAGAAAAAGGCACATTAAAAAAAAAAAGTATGTGAGAGGTTGGGGTTTTAGCTCAGTGGTAGAGTGCTTGCCTAGCAAGCGCAAGGCCCTGGGTTCGGTCCTCAGCTCTGGAAAAAAAAAAAAAGGTATGTGTACAGGTGCCTGTAGAACCTAGAGGCATCAGATCTCTAGGAGCTACAGTTGGATGGTTGTGAGCTGCCTGAGGTAGATCTTGGGATCCACTCAGGTTTTCCAGGAGAGCAAGCAGTCCCGGCTCATGAGACATCTCTCCAGCCCCATGCCTCAGGCTTTTATATTTACATAGAATGAACTCATACCTCTTTCTGTGAGGCTTAACTCAAGACACTTACTAAGGCAGCCACCCTAGTGATGGATGTCAGAAGTCAGTGGTACTTGCTTCATGTGTGGGGAAATGGCACCTTTGCTCTGGAGATGAGCAGGTGAGCCCTTCTTCAATGTTACTATTATTTTTAAATGTGTAAAGTGGTGATATTAATTTTCTCCAGTGATTGTCACTAGGTATATCAGCCACACTCAGGGTAGGCCCCATGGTCAGGAGCAGTTGGCCACTATAAAACAGACTATTTGCATTTTTTTGTATAGTAGTTTTTTTTTTCAATCTTTCTTTCTGGTTTGATTTTCCTTTTGTTGCTGTTTTTTGAGAGAAAAACCATGAAGTTGAGTGATTAGGGAGGTGAGAAGGATCTGACAGGAGCTAGGGGAGAAGAGAATGTGATCAAAATATATTGTATGAAAATAATTAAAGACATCAGTCAGGGGAAATTTTAAAGTGAAGGGTATTTTACCTACATGTATGTTTGTGTACCATATATGTGCCTGGTGCCAGCAGAGGCCAGAAGGCATTGGATCTCTAGGAACTGGAATTACAGATTGTTATGAGCTATCACATGACTGCTTGGAATCAAACCTGGGTCTTCCTTAACCCGAGCCAACTCTTCAACCCTAAATCCCTGCAGTGCCCAGTATGCCAGTATGGTGGCCCACGCCTTTAATCCTAGCGCTGAGGAGTCGGAGGCAGGTGGGTTTCTGTGAGTTTGAGGCCAGCCTGGTCTACCTGGTCTATTTAGGGTATGGCTGTTTTGGCTGCATGTATGCTTTCGTCCTATTGTGTCCACTGCTCGTGGAGGCCAGGGAAGGGCTTCAGATGCCCTGAAACTGTAGTTACTGATGAGTTTGAGCCACTGTGTAAGTGCTGGGTCATCCTCCATCCTCTTTTTGGTTTTTGAGACTCGGTTTCACACTGTAGTCCAGGCTGGCCTGGAACTCTCAGCATTCTTGCCTCAGAGACTCCTGATTGTTGAGATCACAGGCATGCACCACTGTCCCTTGCAACTGGAGAGTTTTCAACTGTGTTAGGGCATGTTTTATTTTTGATGAATGGGGTATGTGATATGGGTCAGTTCGCATAGTGTTTGCTTGTTATGGGTGAGGCTGTAGTGTTGCTAACACCCACCCCAGATCAACATGGGTGCTAATGCTTGAAGAAGATTTTTATTTTATTTCAAGCAAGAGTTCTTTGAGTTCCCAGACAGCCAGGGCTATGTAGAGGGACCCTGTCTCAAAACCAAATGAACAAACGAATTAACAAAACCCACCACCAACAAATAGACACATTGACCCTCCTCCAGTCAAATGGCCTTTCTCATCTGCTGGCTTGTCAGGACTGTGGAAACAAAGTAATCAGCTTGGGAATGTTCTCAGCACAGGCCTTGCTGGAAAATGGAATTGCTAAAAGGAGCAATAAAAAGAAAGGGCTTGGCATAGTGGGGTGCTGTATACCCATAATCTTGGCACTCTGGAGATGAGGCAAGGGGATCTTGATTTCCAGGCCAGCCTGAGCTAGTGTGGGAACCTCAGTTGAAAGCTGTGTGTGTGTGTGTGGGTCCTAGAACTTGCTCTGTAGACCAGACTGGCCTCAAACTCAGACATTCACTTGTTTCTGCCTGTAAAGGTTTTTTTCCCCAATTGATCTTTTGTGCTTTTAATGTTACTTTTGTTCAGGGTACACACAGGCATACACACACATGCACACTGACTATAGGGTTCTACATTCCAGTGTAATACAGGCTTCATTACTCTTTATTGCCTTTCATTTGGCTCTAGTTCATGCAGTTATGTTGTCTGTCTCAGCCACTACACACCTCTGAATAGTTAATGATTATGAAAGTACAGACCTTACAGCATATAAATTGCAAACAGCAGGAATAACAGTTACTACCTGTGCCATTTAAAACAGCACATACCAATTACTAGTGCATTTTGCCTTTATAGTAAAGGTCTCACTCTGTAGTTCCCACTGGCTACAACTCACTAAGTAGATGAGGTTGGACTTGAACTCAAAGACCTGCCTTGCTTCTGCCTCCTGAGTGCTAGAATTATAGCTGTGTGCCTCCAGCACGCCCAGCTTTGCCAGTGATTTATTATAAGGTTTGTGTCCAAGCAGAACATCAGCAGTAGAGTGCTGCATCGACAGGAGGCCAGTGCCTCCGAGGATCGTGGTGACTCTCTTCACTGTAACACTCCTCAGAAGGCCAGATAGGTCTCTGCCTTCCTCAGTAGTTTTGCGTCAAGAGAGGTGATCTCTAGGCTACAGGAGCCAGGGATGCAATGCTTGGGTGGAAAGAAACCTGTGAGGCTGTTCTGCTGAGGGAATCAGTTTCCAGGGCAGTGCTGTCAAGTGCTTTTCTGGCGTATAAGCCTGGGAAGGCTGGGCAGATCAACAAGCCTAATAAATGTTTCCTTTTACATTTGTAGGCTGTCTCCGAACACTATGGTGACACCCCACAAGAAGAGCATGCTGGGAAATGGGAACTATGATGTGAATGTCATTATGGCAGCCCTTCAAACCAAAGGCTATGAAGCTGTTTGGTGGGACAAGCGCAGGTAGAAACCAAATTTGATTTGCCATCAAGAACAGGCTGTGGTTCCAAATCCAAGTGAATGGGGACAACCATGGAGTGTGGCTGCCCCAGAGCCTGACACCTTTTCTCTTCTGCAGGGACGTGGGTGTCATTGCCCTTACTAACGTCATGGGCTTCATCATGAACCTGCCCTCCAGCTTGTGCTGGGGTCCACTCAAGTTGCCTCTCAAAAGGCAGCACTGGATCTGTGTTCGTGAGGTGGGAGGAGCCTACTACAACCTTGACTCCAAACTCAAGATGCCAGAGTGGATTGGAGGAGAGAGTGAGCTCAGGTGACCCTACAAGGCTGGGCTGCTGGGCTTTTAGTCTGGCATGCTGGGGAAGTTGGGCTCCTCTGATTATTTGACAAAGGAAATGAAATTCCTGTGTCCCGGAATCCTCTCCCTGTTCCCTTGGAATCATAGGGTTTGGGGCTTAATTAGGACTCTATCCCTTTGATGAACAGGTTTCACATCCTGTGATTCTAGCTTTCTGGTTTGGTGGGACTGACACTGTCACCTCTCCACTTAGACAGCTGCCAGTTAAGAGGAAGGAAGATGACATTATTCCAGACAGGGTTGAGTTTCTATGTGACCTGTTTGTATTCCTGGCTATCCTAGAACTCCCTCTGTAGACTAGACTGTTCTCAAACTCAGAGATCCGTTTTCTGCCTGCTCTTACCTCTGGATTACCTCTGCTGGGATTAAAGGCACGAGTCACGTCTACACCCTGTGACTACAGCCCTGTGACTGAGGTTCTTCCTGTTATCTACTGTATGTGTGCAGGTGCCTGTGTGCTCCTAGGCATGTATGAGGTCAGAGGATAGTTTTCAGGAGTTGGTCCTCTCCTTCCATCCACCGTGGGTTCTAGGATCTCTGTCAGATTGAGGCTTGCTTGGCAAGTGCTTTACACTAGCTTTGATGCTGGTTTGATTGAAGCTTAGTAACCATTAGAATATGTGATGTTCTCGTCCTCATGCTGGCAGCCACTAATGACAGGAATATATGAGAATGTGCAGGAAC